CCTCATCGAAAGAAGCACAAATAAGCCCCCCCATAACAGAGAGATATTTGGGTTAGCCATCAAGCAAAAAGAAAGAGTTGGCTAGCTCAGTTGGAGAAAGCAAGAAAAAAGCTTTATATATGAGGTACGCACCGTAAAAACTCAAAATGAATAAATGAACTCTCTCAAAAAAGAAGAAAAACAAATTCTCCAAACTATCACAAAATTTCCATTACAAAGCAAGGTAGATGATTGCAATCAAAGAAAAGAACAAAGAACTCCTTGATAGTTGTAGTGCCTAAAACTTTTGCACCAAGTACATTCAATTGTAAAGAGAAAAAATAGGAGAATAAGTAAGAAATAAGAAATTAACAGACATCAAGCTCAATCATTCAAGAAAGGAGGAGAGCAAAACAAATAACATTTTGGTCGAAATGCCTATAGTTATATGCATTTTCAAGTACCGGCATCAGGAAAATGATAATTAACCGAAATTTTATTTAAAAAACTAGAATGAGAAAGAGCAAATAGCTCTAGCTAAACTATCCTTAGCGATACACTTTAGGAAGAAAGTCCAATGTCCCCAAAAGAAGAAGAGTGAAAAGAGAAGACGTGCCCACATAAACGAAACTAAAGAAGCACCAATTCATGCGTAGTGCTTTCAATACCATGAGCTCACTTATGCTAGAGAGAGAGAGAGAGAAGAGAGAGAGAGAGAAGTTTTTTATACCAGTGAAAATCTAACCATAAATTAGAAGAGGTTATAGCTTTAACCCTAGAAAAAGTAAAAATCAATACAAATTGAAACAAACTGATACAAATTAATATTAAATTGATACAAATTAAAACAAAGTTGCATCAAATTTATACAAATTGACATCAAATTTATACAAATTGAGTTTGAATAAATAAACATAGCATAATCATTAAAACAAATCCTGAAAAGTGTTTTAGTATTAGCATCCCAAAAAAACTCACAATCCTAAGCTTATAACTCGAATGCATGCACGTGTTCATGTTGATGCATGTACATGCCATTGTGTGTGTTTGTGTTTGAGCTCATGGCATATAATTCAGCATGCAGACATATGTTCATGTACATGCATGTGCATGCCATAGTTTTTATGTACTTTCATGCTCAGAGCAAGGAAAACCACATGTTTGCCATCCCCAATACACTCACATGGATCAAAGGCAGGGCAATCAGCTTAGGCATTCACTTGGGCTTATACAACTATGGACCCAACTAGCTACATAAACCAAGCGAACCATTTATAACATAATCATAAGAGAAATATCAAAAGAAAGTGGTACAAAAACCAAATAGAATCAAACCAGTCTATATGAAAGAGCATTGTTCTTACATAATGCAACCTATAATCCTGGTGATCATGAAGTAGATAAACAAAATTAAAAAATAAAATGAAGAGTGAAGCCTTCAAGTACATGAAAGTAAACGAAATGTCAAACCAGCCAGCTTACAACTACAAAAAGAGGTGAGGTAGCCTTCCCATGGTCCATAACTAAAAGAGTTGCAACCTACCATCCCAAACTGCCATGTACCATACATACCTAAGTCATGGCCTTGCCAAAAAATATCTTAAACTGGTCCTCCGTATGGTATCTTTGTTGATGGGCAAATCCATGCATTTTCATAAAGAGCTTTGGAAATATATCTTCAAATGGTTTGTATATCTCAGTGCAACAATTGGAAAAGAATTTCTGCACGGTACATTAAATATAACATATGAGAAACTAGGTAGTTTTCATTTCCTTATATATACAAATGGGCTAAATACTAATAGCATAATAAATTATTTAGAACTAAATGTACCCATTACCTTGATGTTTTGTTGTCGATCACTAAAATGGACATATACGTTCCAAATAAAACTTAGGAGATCGGATAGCAACTTAAAATCATAAACAGATCTCTGCTTATGCTTTTTACATTTTGCCGCCTCTAGTTGTTGCACTGCCATGAGCATCTCCGGTTTCAAATGACAATCCCATTTATATTTTTTATACCACCGTGCTCCACATGTGCTCTTTTGAGTACTTTTCAAGGATTCTGATCCAAAGCCATCTTACCATATCTATCAAGTTGACCGTAGAGCTCTACAAGGAAGTGCAATCGCTTCCAATCATCTCAAAAAAAGGGATGTTGCAAGATTTGATATGCGCTGAAAAACAAACATACACAGCATATTTCTAATCAGCATTAAATTTATCGAGAGGTATATAAAAAACAATTTAGAAACATAAGATCATCCTAACATGAAAATGTCAAAATATTATACTTGCCTGGAGGGATCATGTTTACTTATGATGTATGTGAGCTTTTTGAGTTCTACATAACCATCAACGCTATTAATATCTCCAACAGTGATGAGTAAGAAATAAATAAAGGACCAATATTTATCGAATGCATGAGGTCATAAAGAGAGTAATGGATGGAGAAAAGACCAAAAAATGCAATGTAATGTAAAAATATGGAACTGTATATGAATCTATTTAGGGAATAATATTTTTTCAATTACTTCCTCCGGTATCTCTTTCAATCTATAAGCCTCCTATTTGATCTTCCCATACTTTCAATTAGTGAGCTCCCTATTTGATAGTCCCATGTTTCCCTACAAGGTGAAAAACAAAATATTCTTATCCCAAAACAATCTCCATTTTATTATAAGGGAAAATCTTCTTCTTATAGCAAATTTATGTCTCCTGCTTTACGGCTGTTGCATTTGCATGGATGGCTAGCACTAAACTATATATATAATGTAACTAAATACCTCGTCTAAACGAGGAAAAGTTCCATCTCATGGTTACTCCATCATAACCGGTCTCACTTCCAAGCTGCCATCTTTTTATATTCTTTTTCTCTCTACCATTGGTACTAGTTTTTTCTGCTCTTTCTCTTGCCATCCATTTTGCTCTCTCTCTCTCTCTCTCTCTC